CAATATATGCTTATACGAAACATTATATGTTTTGAATAAGAATTTTGTTGTTTTATTCAAACAACCTGTATTATTTGATAGAAAAAACACTATTATTTGAAGTAATATCTTTCAATGAAATAATTATATTATTTGGCTAGGCGCTTATAAAGTTTGGTGCTGCCACTAGATGGCCGCCGAACTCGTAAGTAAAATCGCGGCAGCTATGATATATAAGCGACCGCATCAGCAGACGCAGTTTAAGCATTTAATGGTCTATTTTTTATTATGGCTAAACATAGTGTACTAATTCAGTGTTTATCTTTCTTCTTTTAATGAAGGGAAAATTCTAATGTAGAGGGAGAAAGATGTATGCATATACATTTGTTTCACATATTTTCTATCAAACGATAATGCTGTTTGAATGAAACAATAATATCTTTTAGATTAAAGAGAATATTCCTTTCGTTTCAAACAAATATTTTATTTGAAGTAAAGCTATTTATTATTTGAAAGGTCAAATAATCATATTTGTTGAACCAACAATTGGTTTGTTTGGACTATTCCAAAAGATAAATTTCTTTGAATCTAATAAAATTTATTAAATTCAAAGAAACCGTTCTCTCTGTGCACAGGTTCTCGGGGCTTTTGACAGACACCAGGGTAGATGGCTTGTCCTCGTATAATGTCAGCAGCGCCGACTTCAAATTGATTGGTTTGAGAGCCAATGCAAACCTCAGCTGGCCGACGGTAGTCGCGAATACTTATTACTCCATGAAAGGCAACGCCTTCGGCTTCGACGTTTATGGAAACGGAAAGATGAAGTAAGTATTTGCTTCTTCCAACAGAATCTAATTAACCGTATTACTTGGATGAGTTCGGGATTTTCCAATATCCATCGCGGGGAAGGATTTTACCGCCAATTTTTGCATCTCATTTACTCGCCGATAAAAAGGAATTAATATGAGAAATTAAATCTGAACTTTAGAGAAATTGTATTAATTTCAATTAATATGATTTCAGCAATTTCCGCAACTATCTTGTTATAGTAATATATTATTAATATAAGCAGGTATCTTTGCTGTATATACGTAAATGTACACAGAAAGAGTTTTTTCTTAAAATTTATCCTAAAAGTCATGTAATCGTGGCATTTTGAAGAATTTTATGAGGGTTGTTTGAAATTTTACCATACATTTTACTAGTAAAGGAAAGTCCTCTATTATGAGATAGTAGGTTTTCAAATTCAATTACAAATCTTATTTCGCAACGATTACACGATTTAACAATCAATTTTCCACTGAGCAGACTTCACTCCAAGGCCAAAAATTCAGTTTGCAATTCCACCATACATTTTACTTATAGAGGAAAGTCCTCTATTATGAGATAGTAGGTTTCCAACGTCCAAATTCAATTACAAATCTTTTTTTCGCAACGATTACACGATTTAACAATCAATTTTCCACTAAACAGACATCACTCCAAGGGCAAAAAATTCATGGTGGAATCAACAGATAATGTCTATTAATTTAGCAGAAATCCCGCTATCCCATATTAGGGGCCTATCCCATAATAGGGGACTTTCCTCTAATTATACTTGCAATAAGAATACAGTTTACTAGTACAATGTATGGTAAAATTTCAAAAAACTCTCGTAAAGGTCTTGAAAATGCCACGTTGTCCCACGATTACATGATTTTCAGGGTAAATTTTAAGAGAACATTTTTTTCGCGTACAGTAATTTAAAAATGCGAAACATTTATTGTTAGCATAATTATGTCACAGGGAGAAAAATCGTTGATCTTCGCGATCTCGCGAAGAACGATTTTTCATTCCGCTTCAGCTATATTTAACTACAATGCTTGAAATATGTACGTGAAAAAAGCGAGAGCTAGGATGACTGACAATGAGTTGGCCGTTTTTCATTCAGCGCTTTCGCGACTTTATCAGGCGACGCCAACTGCGACAAAGCGCGTTATTAAATCGTGACTGAATTTATATGCTTGGCGCGAAACACGCGATCGCGCCGATCTCGTTCAGGTTTCTTACGGCGATCAGGCTCGCCCTTAGCAAACGAGACTAATTCAATCGAGACTACTTTGACGGGAATTTACACGGGACTTTTTTCTGAATTTCAGATGATTCATCGTCTCGTTGTTAAATTAAACGATAAATTTATATTTGCGCATGTCTTCTCGACACGCACGAAATCGAGAAAGAAAATCGGGTTATTCTTTTGGCGGCGCTTATCTAGGGTTTAAGATGATTATTTTATTATTAAATACTATCTCTTCACAATTAAATTCATGCCTTTAAAATTACAATAGATGTGACATTGCCACTATTAATAATTATTTAAAATAAAAATGTAAGATAATAAAGCATTGAAAATGAAAGATAATAATTTTAGCTTTCGCTTTTAATATACATTTAATTTTCAGTGCCATCGTGAAGGACCTCAAATTCTGCATTAACTTTAGCTTTACACTGAAAGACAAGCATATCCAGGTTAAACAAGTAGTAACGAAGATTTCTTTGGGAGCGTTAGATGTGAGTAATTAAGTTACAAATTTGTCAATTTTTTCTTCGTTTTGCAATCATCATCCTCCGAATTCGCAATTCTGCGATCTACCGATCGAACCATTGCAAAAATAATATGCAATATTAAATAAATGACTTTACTCTTCCAACAACATTTGAGAAAAGAAAATGTATACATAGTTCAAAAAATTCAAAATAAGGAGTAATTTCATTTCAATTAAACATCATTTTGCAACTACGTATCTTAAATATTAAATTTTGTTGTATCAATGTCTTTTCATCTCACGTTAATATGGCTATTTCTCTAAAGCTTGTGTTACAAGTTTTTCCTAAAACGTCATACATATCTGATTTTGCAAAATCGAGTAAAAAAATTATTTATTAATTTCATACTATTATATACGTACGTAGGTATATTACTTTGGCGCATCGTGAAAATTTTACTCTAGGTAAAAAATATGCATATATTTAACATGTAATGCAAAATGACTCTGATTTCAAAACATTACACGTACATACATATGTGCATATCGAAGGTTTGGCGCGGGTTGTCTAAAGATTAATTAATAATATATTAATTTTTTAAAATTAAATTAATTATTATACGAGAAAACTGCCACTCGTACAGTATTGAGTTAACACTGCCGCGTCGTTTCTTGCCCTTCAATTTGCATACATAAAAAGGCGACCCAGTCGCACTTGCTGGCTGCAGAGATATCGATCTTTTACAAATAGCTATTATGGAAAAGAGTCGAAAAATTTACAACTCATTTGGCTAAGAAAATTGTAGTTGTGCCCCCAGAAACTTTCTAATTAATAAACATATATGTATTGTATACATACATCGAAATAATAACGTTAATGATTAAAAAGAAATCAAATTCAGTTAGAAAAAAGAAATGAGTTGAAGTCAGTTCGCTTGATTTATGTAAAAATTAATTTAACTTTCTGCACATTTAATTTTCGCTTTGATAAATTTGTTTTAATTTGAAAAATTACAATTATGCCAAAATTACTGCAGTTTGACACTTCATATGTAACGACTCGCAATCAGTATAGAAGTTAGATTGAAATCTATTTTCACTTTTTTTTCGTAAGGTCTCTTATTCCTCAATCAGTTTCATTGCATGAAATGTAATAATAAATTAATTTTCTGTCACTTTTCACTGTTCCCAATTTCTACTAAATTTTCCGTTTTCCTCGCTTGCAGTTTCACGCGACGGGGCTGTACGACGATGAGGACACATCCAAGTTATTGAGCGATACGATCTCCGATATGGTGCCGAAGATGATCGACGAGTACCAAAAGGACGTTACGGACAATGTTAATGAGATCATTAAGACACTCGCCAACGAGTTTCTGTCCACAATAACGCTTAAGGATCTTTTGAAAATACTAGGTCTGTAATATCTTTCGGTTATAAGTCGATGCCACGCTATTAATACTTTTTACAATCGCAATCCCGGTCGATTAAATGATACAAATGCGATGACAATAAAGAGCACTTAAAGAGCGTTTGCTGCTAGCATCGTCAAAAATAAACAGTCCTTGACGATGTCTCGCTCTTACACTAAAATTATTTCTGTGATAAAAATTACTTGTGTGCAATAAAATTAATATTAACACGACAAGCGTGAAAAGACTGCTTCTTCTTTTATAATAAGATCCTCCTTTCATGTCAGTTTTTTCTTCGTGTTATTTTTGTAACCAGTATTAAAAATGGACCGTGTATGGAACTTGTCAGTGTATACAGCAAGGTATGAAAGAGAGAAAGAGAAAAAGATGTGCCCTGTACACATCATCTTTCATATAAGGTTATTCCTGGAAAATGAGAGTGCAAACGTATTTTTGGCGCCCTGTATATGCTAATGGATAGACTTCGAAAATACGATACTTTTGCGCGACATTGTCCATTTTAACCAAACTGGAGATACGATACTTCAATAACAACTAGATTGAAAAAGAGAAAAATCTAACAATAAGCTTTAATTTAATCGTTATCTTGCAGCACGTGATTTTATGTACATTATGATCTTTCAGTCATTTTATCGCGCGATCTTAAATTAAAGTATTAGAACAACACACTAAAATCGAATTGTTCACTAGTGTGTATTCACTTCACTTATACGCGAGTCCGTCTATTGAAATGCATAAAATAATTGTGCATTTATCACACTGTCCAGACTCCTAATATCAACTCGCAGTTAAATAATTTCACAGATAATACGTAACATTATCTGCAGCATTGTCTATCTGCGATATTAATTGGCATCGACATGAAATTGACCTCGTTGAACGTCACAGTATACTTTCCTTATTTAACCGGGTTCTCAAATTCCAATTAGTACTTAAATACAATTCCGACAGAGATTTTTATGTTCGACGAATGTATCGAGTATTCGATGCCATTAAATCAACACGAACTGTTATTGTTGCATGAAAAAATACTTTTTAGTTTCCGACGTAAGGAAATGTTATAACGACACGAATTATTTTCTGTCGTCAAATATGGTATTTATATAGTGGCGGTTTAAGAAAAATACTTCCACCGGCTTTCGAATTCCCGACCAGCGAGCGAAACACGTGCATTATTCCTATACATGTCGCTTCATTGGGTTACACAACTTGCAGCGTAACAAGCAGAATTGCAATCTAATCTCTAGTCTAATCTTCGGGCTCGACGAGACTCGCTATGCGAAAACAAACATTGCCAGCGTTCCAAAATAAAATTAATTGTGACGACATCATTATGGTTAATTGCGCTTCCTCGATACACAACACGGAGACTGCCGTTAGCGATCACTTTCGTGATTGCAACGCGACACAATAGAATTTTTCGACGAGAGAAAGACGAAGTTAAATGTAACGTTGCGCGCTTTCGTCCGCCCTATATATGAAATAGAATTCCTAGGCCGACCAAAGATCGAATCGTCGCGCAAACAATGAAGAGATGCTTTGCTTAACGATTCAATATTGGCGAACTGTTCCTATAAATACGTCCACATTTCTTTCAGCTCGCAGTTTTGTTCGTGCCGTTTAATCCAACGCAAAGTCGGACGGCAGGGCTTATAAACCAACGTAAACCTGCAACGAGCTCTACGTAAATGGTATACATTCGTTTTAGACCTTTGGAATATAAGCAGTTTATATAAGTAGTTACAGACAATACGAAGTACGCAATTCTAAGTACAGCCACTAAACGAGTGATGCGTCGAACGAGTTTATGGATATTTCTCTCGGACGTTTCTGTTCGTTACACGTGCGTCGCGGAAGTTTGCAAAAAGACATTCGGTAATCGGCAATGTCCTCTCATAATAACACTGGCCGGTGATAGCATGGACCTAAGAATCTCTGGACCGAGCATACGGCGAGGGGGCTGGCAAATTTGCGGTAAGGGGGGCGAGAGTGCTCTCCTTTTCTGTCCCGTTGGACCTCTCTTTCTACAAGAGGTCACATTCACCTCTTGTAGAAAGAGATACCATGAGATACCAAGAGGACAGAAAAGGAGAGCACTCTCGCCCCCCCCTTACCGCAAATTTGCCAGCCCCCTTGCCCGTTCTCCCACTTCGTGCTCGGTCCAGAGATTCTTAGGTCCATGGGTGATAGCGACTAGAGCTTTCGATTGGATACGTGTTTTAAGATTCACGTGTACACGTGATGCGTGTACACGGATTTAAAGTACCTTCATTCACGTGTACCTGTGTACGTGACACGTGTACACGTACATTCGTGTATGTGCGATACGTGTAAACTTGTGCGAATATTTATCAAAATTTGATGAGAGATCTCTATTTCTGCATATGTGGTTCGACATATGTACACGCATAATTCCAGTATTCCAAGTTTTATCCAGATTTTATCACATAACTCTTTAAATATTTTCCTATTGTATACACGGCTACACGTCTACATATGTTATGTCATATACACGGACATTCGCGTACACGTTCACGGATATTCGTGAACACGTGTCACATTCACGTGTTCACGGATTCACGCAAATGAAAATTCTTCAAATTCGTGTACACGAGTTAAAACACGGATAAGTTAAATACACGGATTACACGTGTAGTCTAGTACACGTGTGCTAGGGAGCTCTACCGGCGACGAATTCGTTAGCTTTAGGATTTGTGGCCGAGGTGGAGGTGACTTAACAGAAATTTTCTCCCTCACGCAGAAAAATGAATCTGGTGGCGTTCGGACTCATCTTGATCTGCTGCAACGCCTGGGCGGCGAGGACAAAGAGTAAGCAGATATCTATATTTTCTCTCTTATTTCCTTGTATATCTCCTGTGTATTTTTCTAAAGATACATTAATCCATTAAGTCCACGGAGGCTCGTACGAGCTTTTCCGTTTCAAATCCTTGTAATTCAGGTCCCGACGAAAATGTTTAGACCGTAATTGATATTTAGAGACAAAAAGAGTTGCTCATTTTTAAGATCTAGTCGGCGATAGGGTGGGATAACCAAAAAGAAAGACATGAAGGTTTAAAATAAAGGTAAAAAATAACAACTGCACTGTCATTGAACAATAAGTAAGCAATGAATAATTTCGTTTGCCTTTTTGAGCAGAATTTTTGTTATAGTTTACTCAAATAAGAATTATATAGATTTATTCTATTGGAAAAGTGGTAGACGAAATCACTTGTTAGTTAAATATATGTCGATTGGAAGATAGGGGTTGCTCACCTTTTTACCTCATCGCCGACTAGATTTTCGGAAAGTGTAATTCTTTGTATACTTAAATACCACTTGTTGCTTAAAAATGTCGATTGCGACCTGAGTCACAAGAATTATAAACAAGAAAGCACGTAGAGGACTTAATAAGTGAAGCTACATTTTTGTAGAAGAGTCATCGTCTTACATTTATTATCTTTGTACTACCCGCGTATTTTTTAATTTGTCGCTTAGACATTTGTTTCGAAACATTCAGTTGTTCTTTTTCAGAATTATTTATTTTACAACATTTTTTATCCAAGAGTCGTACCCGCGTATTTTCGAACAATCGCGTTATTATTAAATGTATTATCTTAGTTCAATTTATTATTTAATAGTATTAATTTTCACGACTTTGGATCTTTTGAACTCACGTATTTCTTACCATTGCGGGATATTTTTTTCTCTTAGACAATAATATTTCGCCAGGAATACAACATAAGCTTGCATTTGTTTGACATTAGTTTGTAAACTGCATCGCACGAATTTTGACTTTTAGTTAAAGGCCTGTTACGCGAGGACAACCGGATACAGGATTTTTTCAAGAGGTTAAAAACTACATTTAAGACTGGAAACGAGTCACTCGGAATTCCGGTTCTCGATCCATTCCACGCGGACCGCCTACAGTTCAATGTAGACGAGGACGTAGTAAAGTACGTGCCATTCCAATTTAAAATAAATTATAAATATTCGCAACATGAAAAGAAGTGCGAAGCCAAGTATCGCAACGGCTTCGTAGCCTGTTATCATTTCTTCATCCATTTGTTTTGTAAATTCATTTTATATGTTGTAAATCCGCGACTCTCGCTCACCTTCTTTTTGGTAAAATTACAAATCTTCTTAAATATTTTAGTATTTTTTCTAATAGTTTCAGCTGATAATACGCATATTTCAACGAACAGACGACCGTGTGTGCGTGTGAATTGCACGTATATTGACTTATAAATTTCTTTGATGTTTCTCGCACAGTTTCAGAGTGAACACGAATTTTACGAATATCAATGCATACGGTTTCTCCGAGTATGACGTTGTCAATTCTACCGAGAAGATGTTACCACCTAGTTTGAATCTTCATATATTGTGGCCATTGTTATCCTTAAATGCTGATTATTCTATGGATGCTAAATACAACTACTTCAACATTTACGGCAAGGGTACGATAAAGTGAGTATTTGTTCCTTAATGATCAGGAATCGAAATCAGTATAATTATAATTCTAAGATTTTCTCAAGTTCTCTGTGATACGTTTTCAACTTTCGTAAATGCTTCCTCCAAATAATGTCGGGTATACCTTCATAATAATTTTGATTCGTCTGAAGTTAAAATGCACATTCAGAGCGTAAAATGTTAAAGTTACGATATACTGGGCGTTTAATTTTCAGAATATCCCTAGAAAACTTGGATGTTGACGCGAAAATGGATTTAACATTGACAGGCGGCCGAGCCGCACACGTGCGAGTAAAGGACATAAAATTTAAAATTTCTACAAAATCGCTGGATGTAAGTAAACTGGTTAAAAAAATCTAGTCCTTACTTTTCGTTCTTTCGTTCTAGTGCAATCTTTGCAAGGAAACTGTTTATTAAATATGTAATTTCGACTTCATATAACAGATTCTCTAAAACTTTCTAAGAGAAAAGGGATACATGTAATTGGGACAACTTAAATACTATGATTTTCGAAAAGTTAACGTAAAATTATTTAAAATATATTGAAATAACTGGTTGAATATATTAATAACTTATTTGATACTGAAATGTTTTTCTTTCGTTGCACTTTCTTCTTTCCTATATTTTCAGAAATTTATTGTAATAATAATAATTTGAAAGTATTTAGCGGAAATTAAAGCAGACTTTGTAAAAGAATTGTATCGTTTCGTGTATGTTAAAAACAGAGCGTTAAATAAGTGCTGTAAAAATCGAACTTTTATGAGCAACAATCAGCTGGAAATGACTACTCAAAATATCATTTTTAATCTCAAGCAATTTTTTCGTTTACTATTTAATTGTTTTCGACATAAGTTTCAATTAATTAATCATTTATCGTTACTGCCTTCGATTTTTTTTTAAACTTACCCCTAGGTGTCAATTTTTATCTTCGAGCCTCTCTTTCCTTTCTTCCAATTGCTATTTCTTTCTATTATTTGCAGTTTCAAATGACAGGTCTTATGGACGACGCTAAATTTTCCGCAGCAGTGAGTGCTGCAATTTCTGATATGGCACCTGACGTACTTAACAATGACACGATTCTAGACCTGTTCAATCATCATGCCAAGAAGATCCTTACTTATTACTTAAGTACTAAAACAATTTATGAATTAACGGATATAATATATACTTAGCCCGGCATTAAACTTTTCGTCATACTGACGTCGTTATTGTTTAGTCAGTCATTTGTACCGTCACGATGAAACCGACGAAACGATATAAATATAGATAGGTTATTAAAGATAAGAATAAAATGAATATATTCCGGTGAGAACATGTACCATGAATGTATCAAAATGAACTAGAGTTTTGCTGATTACAAATTAGTAAAAATTCATTACCCGAAACGTCTTTTTATCTATCTTGAATGCTTTAATAGGGATATATTATAGTAATTACTAGTAGATATTATTTTAATAGCAGATATATTGAAGTAATAATACATCTTGTACATTCATATATCTGCCACAAACGTAACTATAATTTATCCTGATCCGTTCTCGCTTATCTATTTTAGAGAAATGAGTAAAGATTGATCTTTTTTAACATTTATATATGTACATTTATATATATTTAACATATATTTTACGCAACATTGTATGTTAATTCAATTTTCAATAAAAGACAAATTTACGCTTACACACTGAAAATTAATATTTAAGCTATTCCAGAGTATAACCGCTGCGATCGTTGTATTTTCTATTTAATTTCCCAATAGATTTTTAGTAGAATTTCCGAGGGAGAAAAAGAGAAAGAGGAGGAATCTCTCTTTTCGGAATTTTTCAAATAAGAGTTTTTTCTCTATTTTATTATACATATAAATAATTCAAACAAGAGGATGTTTTTAATTTTTGCTGGCGACCCTGAAGAATTTCCGATCAGTCAAACAAGAAGGTTTAACGATTGAAAGTTAACTATATCAGTCAATTAATTTAAGTTAATTAAAATTTCACTAAATTTGATTATTAGGGAAATGGCACGTGGATCTATTTATAGAAAAATAACAGTCTAGAAAAGAGACTCTACTGAGATTCTTCAACAAATAAGTGACGGCTTTCTCAGACGTAATTTGGCGAGTGACAATAAATGTCTCACCTTACGGTTGCTCCGCCCTCGTCCTTCTCTTTTATTGTTTCGCGGTCGTTCTTGCACGGCACTTCCATAGCACTTCGCGCGCAACGCACGTGAACATGGCATCGATATGCAACACTTTACACGGCATTCATTCCCGACGTCACGCGACGCGCAGTTTATTAGAGAAAAGATCACCACGGAAAAAGCAATGGAGTTACGATTGGCAGATCACACGGCGACGTCTCGCGAATTTTAAGATGACGGAGGTGGAATTCGAAAGTCGCGCTGTCAACTTTGCGCCGCGGCGACGCTGTACCTGTTGCTCCCCGCGTGCACCTTCGTGCACTTTTCGCGCGCCTCGGACAGCAAACGGCGCACATGCGTTCGCGGTTTACGCCGATCCCGAGTTGTAACGTAGGTGACAGAGGTTAGACAATCGAGCGTAGGGGGGTAATTAAAAATACGACTGTCATCCTGCTAATCGTTCGCGTGACGGACGGATCTTGATCGACAAAATCGCGCGAGATCTCGCGTTTCGGCCAGATATATACCGAGCGCAAAACTGGCGCTGCGCCGATCGTCAGTAGATTAAGATGCGATTAAACGTTAAGACCTGGTCGATATAACGATCGTATTCACTAATCGAGCGAGTCGCAATGTCGCGCGACTCGAGACAAATCCGTTTCATACTCGCGACATCTCGTTAACGACTGCAGAGTACGAAGCGCGCATTGCGTCAACTTCGCTTCCTCGATAGCGCGCGGTACTACGCGAGTCGAGTTAACGAGTTTGCAATGTCGGAAATGCAACACTGTGCAGCAGTACGCGTGCAATCAATTTTATAACGTTCGTTGAATATTGACATTATTCAGATAAACATTTTCCTAAAGAAACTTTCAACTAAACGTAGGACGATAGCGAAAGTTTACGGCGAGATAGAAACACGTTGGTTTGAAATAGAGTTCCATGCTACACGTGTAATCCGTGTACACGAATTTGAAGAAAGTTTATGCACGTAATTGTCGATTACCGGAATATTATATATAAATAATGAACCATTGATGGTCTCTAGTTCAATGAAATCAAATTTCTCGACCGGCCAAAGACCGAATTGTAGCGCGATACACGCAATGAACGAAGAAACCCTCATGTCCTGCTTTAAGATTCGATATCGGCGAACTATGGCTAGAAATATAAAGAGAGAAAGAGAAAAATATGTACCCTGTACACACCATCTTTCATACAAAACTATTTCTGGAAATCGAGAGCGCCAATGTATTTTTAGCGCCCAGTATGTGCTAATGAATAAACTTTGAAATACGATACGCTCGCGTGACATCGTCCGTTTTATCCAAACGGGAGATAAGATAATTCAATAAAATCTAGATTGAAAGAGAGGAGGAATTTAACGATAAGGCTTGACTTAATCATTTTCTTGCAGCACGTGTTATATGCACAGCACGTGATTTTATGTACATTATGTATCCTTCACTCATTTTATCGCGCGATCTTAAATTAAAGTATTAGAACAACACACTAAACTCGAATTGTTCACTCGATTGTGTATTTACTTCAATTATACGCGAATCTATCGAGCCTACCGAAATGCATGAGGTAATTGTGCATTTATCATACTGTCCCGATTCCTGTTATCAACTCGCGGTAAAATAATATTACAGATAATACGTAACGTTATCTGAAGCATTGTCTATCTGCGATATTAACTAGCATCGACGTGTAATGGACCTCGCTGAACATCGCAGTGTACTTTCCTAATTTAACCGCGGCGGGTTCTCGAATTCCAATTAGTAATTACAATTCTGACTGAGACTGTTATGTTTGACGAACGTATCGAATATTGGATGCTATTAAATTAACACGAACTGTTAATGTTGTATGAAAAAATGGTTTTTAGTTTCTGACTAAGGAAAAAATTTTTCGAAGCATCGACGATTCGAACTTAATTCTGCCTATACACGTATATGTCGACATATTTAGCTTAATTGCGTTACACAAGGTGCAACATAACAAACAGAATCGTAATCTGATCTCTAGTCTGATCTTCGGATTCGATAAGAAGACTCGTTATGCGAAAACCAACATTGCCAGCATTCCAAAATTAAGTTATTGTGACGACATAATTATAGTTAATTGCGTTTCCTGCATACACAACGCACCACGGAAACTGCCGTTAGCGATTACTTTCGCGATTATAATGCGACACAATGGAATTTTTCGACGAGAGAAAGACGAAGTATTAAAACGTCGCGCGCTTTTGTCCGTTTTACAAAATCGAACTCCCGGCTGGCCGAAGATCGAGTCGTCGCGTAATCAATGAACACATCTTGATACTCTGTTTAAAGATTCAATATTGACAATAAAATGTGGACTATAAATACGTCCACATTTTTTTCCAGCCCGTAGTTTTGTTCGAGCCGTTTAGCTCAACGGAAAGTCGGACGGCAGAGCTTACCGACATAAATCACCCTGCAACGAGTTCTGCGTAAATAACGTACAATAAAATAAAATACATTCGTTTTAAGCGTTGGGAACATAAGTTCATATAAGTATAGTTACAGATAATACAAAATATATAATTCTAAGTACAGATACTAAACGAGTGACGTGTCGAAAGAATTTTTTGTATATTTCTTTCAGACGATTCTGTTCGTTACACGTGCGTCGCGAAAGTTTGCAAAAAAAAAAACATTAGGTAATCGGCAATGTTCTCTCATAATAACACTGGCCGGTGATAACGACTGGCGGTGAATTCGTTAGCTTTATGATTTATGTTAGCTTTATGTGACCGAGGTGGAGGTAACTTAACAGAAATTTTCTCCCTCACGCAGAAAAATGAACCTGGTGGCGTTCGGACTCATCTTGATCTGCTGCAACGCGTGGGCAGCGAAGACAAAGTGTAAGCAGATATCTATATTTTCTATCGTGTTTCCTTGTATTTCACCTGTGTATTTCTCTAGAGATACATTAACCCATTAAGTCCTCGGAGGCTCGTACGAGCTTTTCCGTTTCGAATCCTTATAATTCAGGTCCTAATGACAATTTTTAGACCGTAATTGATATTTAGAGACAAAAAGAGTTGCTCGTTCTGAAAAACTAGTCGGCGATAAGGTGGGATAACCAAAAAGAAAGACATGAAGTTTGAAAATAGAAATAAAAATAACAACTGCACTGTCATTGAAAAATAAGTAAGCAATGAATAATTTCGTTTGCCTTTTTGAGTAGAATTTTTGTTACAGTTTACTCAAATAGTAATTACACAGATTTACTCTAGTGAAAAAGTGGTAGACGGAATCAACTATTAGTGAAATATATGTCGGTAAAAAGATAGGGGTTGGTCACCTTTTTACCTCATCAACGACTAGATTTCCGGAAAGTGTAATTCTTTATAGACCTAATACCAATTGTTGTTTAAAAATGTTGATTGTGACCTGAGTTACAAGAATTTGGAACAGGAAAGCACGTAGAGGACTTAATAAGCAAAGTTATATTTTTGTAGAAGAGTCATCGTCTTACATTTATTATCTTTGTACTATCCGTGCGTTTTTTAATTTGCCACTTAGTTATTTGTTTCGAGACATTTTTGATATAGTTGCCTTTTTTCAGAAATAATTATTTTACAACAGTTTTGATAAAAAAGTCATATTAGCGTATTTTCAAACTATCGCGTTATTATTAAATGTATTATCTTACTTCAATTTATTATTTAATAGGATTAATTTTCACGAGTTTATGGATCTTTGGACCTCACGTATTTCCTACTAATGGGAGAGATATTGTTTCACTTAAACAATAATATTTCGCTAGGAATACAACGTAAACTTGCATTCGTTTGGCATTTGTTTGTAAACTGCATCGCACAAATTTTGACTTTCAGTTAAAGACTTATTATATGCGGAGAACGGGCTTGAGGATTTTCTTAAGAAGTTAAAAACTACATTAAAGACTGGAAACGAGTCACTCGGAATTCCGGTTCTCGATCCATTCCACGCGGACCGCCTACAGTTCAATGTAGACGAGGACGTAGTAAAGTACGTGCCATTCCAATTTAAAATAAATTATATTCGCAGCATGAAAAGAAGTGCGGAGCCACGTATTGCAACGGCTTCGTAGCCTGTTATCTTTTCTTCGTCCATTTATTTTGTAAATTCATTTTATATGTTGTAAATCCGCGACTCCCGCTTACCTTCTTTTTAGTAAAATTACAAGCGTTCTTTAATATTTTAATATTTTTTTCTAATAGCTTCAGCTGATAATACATGTCACTTAAACAAAAAGAATTACGGGTGTATATGTGTTGTTTGGCGCAGGATTAAATGACTTATAAATTTAATTTATGTTTCGCATTTTCAGATTGGATGCGATCTTGACGAATGTCAACGCAAACGGTTTGTCCGAATATGATATTGTCAAGAGTGCCCTCACGTTGTTACCACCTTCTTTGGATCTTCACCTTTCGTGGCCATTTATATCCTTAAATACCGATTATTCTGTGAATGCTATAATCAACGGCTTCAACATTTACGGCAAGGGTGCGATTAAGTGAGTATTTGTTCCTTAACGATCCTGAATCGAAACCAATACAATTTGAATTTTAAGATTTTCACAGATTTGTTGTGAGACATTTTCAACTTTTCGTAAATGTTTCTACTTAATAATGCCGTGTCTATCTTTATAAGCATTTTAAAATACACATTTAGCTCGTAAGATGTTAAAGCTAATGATATATTACGCGTTCACATTTCAGAATGTCCGCGAGAGGTTTCGCTTTTGATACGAACTTAAATATGACATTGGAAGGCGGGATATTCGACGGACACGTGCAAATACAGGACATGAAATTGAAACTTTCTTTAAAATCGCTAGATGTAAGTAACCTGATTTAAAAGATCTCGTCTTTCCTTTGCGTTCTTTTGTTCTTGTGCAATTTTTACAAGAAAACTGTTACGTTTATTAAGTATGTAATTTCGACTTTATATCACAGATTCTCAAAAACATTCTAAGAGAAAAAGGGTAGATGTAATTGATGAAACCTGAGTACTCTGTTTTACGAAGAGTTAACGTCAAATTATTTAAAATATATTAAATAACTGGTAGAATATATTAATAACTTATATGATACTTACTGAAATGTTTTTCTTTCGTTGCACAAAGTTCTTCTTCCCTATTCTCAGAAATTTATCGTAATAATAATTTAAAAATATTTAGCAAGAATTAAAGCAGATTTTTGTAAAAAAATTGTATCGTTTTATGTAATTGTAGAAAAAAAAATTTTTTTTTAAAAGAACGTTAAATAAGATCTTTGGAAATCGAACTTTTACGTGCAACAATCAGCTAGAAATCACTATACAAAACTTCATTTTTTAATTTCACGCAATCTTTTCGTACATTATTTAATTGTTTTCGACATAAATTTCAATTAATTAGTCATTTATTGTTACTGTCTTTTATGTTTAAAAATTTATTCCCAAATGTCAATTTTAATCCTCGTGTCTCTCTTTCTGTTTTTCCAATTGCTATTTCGTTCTATTATTTGCAGTTGAAAGTGACAGGTCTTTTTAATGACGATGATTTGTCCGCAATACTGAGTGCTGTGATTTCCGATATGGCACCTAATATCCTCAACAATGATACGATTGTACAGGAGATCATTAAACTTGTGAAAAAGTATGTTAACACTTTCTTATGCACTAAGAAACTTTCTGAATTAATGAAATTGCTATATCCATAGTCCAGCATTGAAGCTTTTCGCCATATTAACATCATTCTTGTCTAATCAGTCATTTGTACGGTCACGATCAAATCGACGAAACGATATAGATGTGCCAAAAATATATACAGTTTATTAAAGGTTAAGGCGAAATGAATATGTTCCGGCGAGAACATACTTATGTCATTAATATATCAAAACGAGCGAGAGTTTTACTGAAAAAATTAGTTAAAATTCGTTCTCCGAAACGTCTTTTTATCTATCTGGAATGCTTTAATGTTGGTGTATTAAAATATTAAATATTTTATATGTACAATATACATATTTCTGCGACAAATTAAATATTAATTTATCCTGGTTCTGGTCTGACTTACTTATTTTAAACAAATGAGTAAAGGAGCCTGTTGTACAGCAGAATGTTGTATCTTTTTAACATTTATGTATGTACATTTATATATATTTAACGTATATTTTAGGCTACATTGTAATACGTCTGTTAATTCGATTTTAAATAAAATACAAATTTACTCTTGCACACTGAAAATTAATATTTAAGCTATTCCAGAGTATAACCGCTGCGATCGTTGTATTTTCTATTTTATTTCTCAAGTGATTTTTAATAGAATTTCCGAGTGAGAAAAAGAGAAGGAGGAGGAATCTCTCTTTTAAGGATGTATCGGACCTATCTTCAAAATAGTACAAAGTCGCTAAAAATTTGTGAAATTGTTCTTTTAGTCTTTCTAATTTATTGCAGAAAAGTAAAAATGCATCCACTAAATGAGATATAACTATTTTAATTTACACTGATTTTACACGTACTCTTATGGGAAAAGCCGATCTTCACGGATAAAACAGATAAAAAAATGTAGAAGAAATAGTACCAGTGTTTTGAATTTTTTTTATACATCTAGTATACGAATAGATGAAAATATCTACCAAGTTTCAATAGTCTTTACTGCACCGTTTTGAAGAAATAAAATATAATAAAATGTAACTTGAGATATTCGTGCTGTCGGTACGAATTTTTTAGTTTTGAAAATATTTGACGTTATTAAGAATTGAAATCAGAGTATTTTCACTATCAAAA